TTAATTTCTAAATCCATACTGGTTTGATGGATCTTTAATTGGCGAATTTCAGCTTTTAAATTGTTAACCTCCATCCTTAAATCTGGAAGATTAGCAGGACGAGAATTCTGGCTTTGATGTTTTAATCTGTTGAGAACTTCTTTTATGCTATAATGATTCTCAGATCTTAGAAAGTCTGGGTTATCATTATCTTCTTGAGGCTGTACAATAACATAACCTATTTCAAAGATCTTCATTTTAATCTGAGGATCTTGGACTTGATCTATAAGATCCAATAAGGATTGCTGATGGGCAGTTAAGACATTTAAACTGAGCCCATTTATTTCAACAATAGCCTTGTAATAGTCATTTTTCTGGTGACAAGAACATTCTGGATTACTATTTTCTTCTTCAGAGGAAGATGAGAATTGTAATTCCATGAGTATGTCCTCGGAATCAGAAGATCTATTTTCAAAAGAACTAGTATTAAGCAATAATTTGCTTAATTGGAGTTTTAACTCTTCACTGATTGGAAGACTGTTAAGTTTCTCCTTAGTCCTGCACTTATTGGCATAGTAGCCTATCCGTCCACATTTGAAACACTTAGCCTCCGTTTTGGGTTTTCCTTTACCCTTTGCTTTTGGATAGGTTTTCCTTTTGGGCTTAGTGTACTGCTTTGAATTATCAACCTTTTGTTAATATTTCCTTTGGGAATATTTCTTTTTATAAGGCTTGTCAGCCTTATGCTTTTCCTAACTTTAGGATAAGATAAAGGAGTCTGATAGGCAAATTGATCACAAAATTCACCTACTTCCTTTTTCCCTGTTAATCTCTGTTGTTTTAACTGAGACTGTAACTTCAGATCATTACAGAGAGCTAAACCTTCTTGGATTATGATGTTGACTAATCCACCATAGGTATAGTTCCTGTAAGGGATAAAGATTCCATTATTCATATCCCTTAATTTCTTTTTGATTCGTTCATCAAAAAAGGTAGGGAGACTATCCACAAATTTTGCTTTCCAATGTCAATAATTTGCATCACAAAACTGTAAAACCTTGGCTAAGAAGACATCTTTATACCACCGGAAATGAGTTAAAGATGGACATCTTAGATTCTGTAACAACTCTCTACTCCTTTTACTGTTAGCTCCTTCGGGGCCAACGAAATGTTGAATGATTGTGGTGATGAGAGTGTAAACTGCATCAGTCGCTGGGCCTTCTTGTTGAGTATTTTCATCCTTGACAATTTTGACTGCTGAAAATATCTCTGTTTTCTGAATGTCAGTAAGAACATTATCCCACCATCCTTTAAGGATGCCTGTAAAACTAGCAACAATAAATTTGGCAATTGTTAGATCATTGTTCTGGCTGAGTTTACAGACTTGACTGTACATTAACATTTGATGTATAACCTCATAAATCTGATAGTCAGATTTACCATCGATGTTCCATTCATAAATAGTTTTTCCATGGAAAGATTTCTGAGTATGAAAATAATCTTCTTTATACAAGATATCTTGAGGGGTTGGTCTAGAATAGTAATATCTAATCGGAGTAGGGGCTGTATTGGAGTGGATATTTTTATCATAGACAATTCTATTGAAATCAGGCATAGTTGAGACTGAAAAAACAGCCTGAAAATCCTCAATATGAGGAGAAAATTCATTTTCAGAAACAGTTTCAGATTCAGAATGAGACAAAGTTTGGATTTTGAGTCCTTAAATTTTTGAGTAAAGAGCTGTAGAAATTCCTCAATCTTTTTCTGATGAGACAACTTGAAACCTAAAACCTCAATAGTAGGTTGAACAAGAGCTTTTGATAAGGGAGCTTCTGGGGAAGGTTTGACAGAGATGGTCTTAGTATTAAGAATATTTAATACCATGTCTACACTTGTCTCAATCCTTCCTAATTGGGACCCTATCGTTTGCATACAGACATTAGTATAATTATTCTGTCGGTATACTTTATAAATATCTTCCTTTACAATAAAGCTAGTTTCTTTATCAATGTTTGGAAGATAGGAAGCTGGTTGGCTATAAGCCTTAGTCTGTACTTTGGAACCAGTATCTTGATCTGTGGTTTTCAAAAGTAGAGCTTTAGTGGGGGGATGGACCGAGTGAATAACTTTATTAGTTTTAGTGGTCCATGTTTTCAGAAAATCATCCAAAATATTTAAATTCATAATGGAATGATATGTTAGACAGAACCAAGAAACAAAAGGTATAACCATTTGTTTTTCTTGAAGATACTCATAAAACTGTGTTTCATAAAACTGCAATTGTTCTTTATCAAAAGTTTTAAAATACCAATTTCTAAACTCTTGATATTTCTCCTATTGAAATTCAGCATTAATGGCTTTTCTATCAAGTGTAAAATCCATTAAAACTAATATTCTTCTCTTTCGTCACTTCTGTCTTCAGTTTTGTCTTCAACACCCAACTTTGATGGTGTGGGACTGAATTCTATTCCAAATTCCTAACGTGATGTATTCTTTGGTGTTGGTTCATAAACAGCCTGTGGAATTTTATTCTGTGATTGCTGTATTCCCTTCAGCTTGAGTAGATCAGCCTCTGTGAATTCATCTTTGTACTTAGACATTCCTGAAACAGAATTACGGGAAGGAGGGTAGGAAACTTTATAAGGAACATTAATTCCTTGAGATGATGTAGATCTGGGTAGTTCTAAAGATCTTCTAAAATTAAGAAAAACATCACCATTATGATCCTGGATAACACAGTCCAAGTTCCTATTAAGAATAGGTTTTGTAGGAACTGCATTAGGAATTGTCCAATGGTCAGGAAATGTTATTTCACTCCAAGGAATCATCCTTTTTGTGGCAACATTCGAAGTGAACATGTTTGTATCCCATATCGCTATTACTCCTTTAGAGTCTTTGCGAATGACTTTGGGACAATAGGTATCAAGTACCTTATAATGGATGCGATAAATTACACTTATCACCTCCGATCCAGGTAAAGAATTATACCCATGAGTCTGTACACGAAGACTAGCTGCTTCGTATATGTTTCTATCCGTCAAAGATAGATTCAGACTAGGATATACATCAAAGCAAACCGGTCCATGACATAGACTGGTTTCCAGTGCACCCATCAAAGAAGGGTGAAAGTCCAAACACCTAGCATCCTCAAGTGTTGCTTGAATACAAGCATCCATACCAAGTAAGGTTAAAGGTTTAAAAGCAATTTGGATTAAACCTATATGGATATACTTGTATTTCTTCATGTATCTCTAAAGATCTCTTGAAGACAATAATTTAATTATTATGTCCTTGTTACTCAATTGCATCGTCTGCTCCATGGTTTTAACTGCCCATAGATCAGCGATATTGAGCATCCCGATTTTGTAAATGCTGCTTGCATTTACTAGTGGAATAGTCCATTTGTTCAGTTTATTCTGAATATCAGTAAATTCAATTAACTCTGAATTCTTAATAAATTCAGAATCCTGTGAATTCTGTTCGACCATACTGGAAGATGGGTTTAATATGATTATTAAATATTGTTAATACTTAAGATCTGTATAGAATAATCATTATAATATTATGTAATGAACAATAAGTTACTATTCGGTCGTCGTGCTGCTTAAGAGAGGCCCTATTACTCGTCTGTCAACGGTTTACTGGAAACAACGACCTATGGAGCAATTTAAGGCAAAAGCGGTCTAACCTTCTAACACGACTTTTGAACGACCCATAATAGAATCTACTTATAAGCAGGATTTAAACACATTAGTAGTCTCATTATTCTTTACATAATTAACATAATAAGCATTCTACCAGAAACTTAAAAGCATTAACAATAAAAGTTTAAGCCAACATGTGGCTAAAAAAAAAAAAAATGTATTATGTTACTAGATAACGTTAAATTTAATTAATTTATTTATTTATTTTTTTGTTAATGTTCTTTCTATATTGAAGGTGATTTATTCTGCTTCATTGATGCGGATGATGCCATTAAGGTTAGTTGTGGTTTAAAATAATATCCTAATAGGTCGTTAATTGCAAACATATGGTTAGGGGCTCGTAAAGGAAATCAAAATAATAACATTTTCTATTTATCCTTTCAGTAATTTCACCTTTTAATAAATTTTTATTTTATTTTATTTTACTTCAGTAAAGTAGTGGGTATTTTCGTCTTTTTACCTTTCTGTTAATTACAATTTGACACTTGGCCCTTGTTTGCACACTCTATATACTACATGGGTGTTATTTAAACATGAAGGTTGTTATTTGCAAACTTTTGAAACTATAAGGAGGGTTTTTTGCACTACACCCTAAAAAATAGTATATCTAATTTTGGAATGAGAAATATTTTTTTTTAGACATCTCATAATAAAAAGATATATAAGTATTTTTGGACGAATGGAGTACTAATTGATGAAAGTAGATGGTAAAAATGGAAATGACACGTTGGTCATGTTTGGCTACATGTAATCTACTCTTACAACCCTTTTTTTTTTAGTTGTTATATTACTAAGGCTCATTTTTGTTTGGATCTAAAATTTTTATTTTTTTATTTTTCGATGTTTGATTGTCGTAAAATATTTACAAAAGAAAAAAAATATTAAAATTTAATAAAAATAATTTATTCATCAATTTTTTACAACGCCCAATGAACTCAACTTTAATCACGATGTAGACATTTGTCAAACATCGAAAAAATAAAAATAAAAATATATTTTACCTAAAAATATATATATATATACATCGAAACAAACTAAAGATGAAATTTTTATCACCATTTATGAGACTAAGTTTTGTTATTTTTTAAAAAAAATAAATAAATGAAAGGACAAATTTAAAGTTATAATAAGTCAAATTAAAAAGTCCCAATATTTATAGACAATTACATTTAGTCATTTATACATCATCGAGTTTTACTTTATCAATGGGATCAGCCTCTTTTAATAGAGAGTTAATTACCAAGTACTCCTACATAAATGTTTTAATTCGAAGGTTTTCCTTTTATTACTTGGACAAATTCGATATGCATAGAAAATTAGAAAGTTTGATGATACAATCGAAACGACACCATATCTTTCCGTATAGAACACATTCTCTCTTATTCAAAGCTTTAGCACATTACGACGCCGCGAACCTTCTCTTCCCGGAGTCTTCTGCACAAGCCATAGCTCGCGCCCTTTTCTGTAAGAGATTTTGAATCTCTCTCTACCTCTCTGTTTTTATCTGCACACACTTTATTTTACATATTCTTTTTTGGGTCTCATCGATTGCTTTTGTGTTTGTAGAGAGAGAGAATGGGGGCTGGTCGTGAAGTATCAATCTCATTGGAGGGATTGAGTGATAAGAACTTGATGCAACTCAAGAAGCTCAACGTTTCCATTTTCCCTGTTCGTTACAACGAGAAATTATACGCCGATGCTCTCGCTTCCGGCGAATTCACAAAGCTAGGTATGATTTTATTTCTGGGTTTCGCTTTTTCTTGTGTAATTTATTGTTTGGAATCGTAACAATCTGTGATTGGTGTACCTTCTTTTGTGAATTCTAGGGTTTTGGTTAATTGGTTTGGTAGTTTGTTTTAGAGGATTTGAGCTGACCCATTTGTAGTAATAAAGTGTTTGTGCTTTTCTTTCGATTTATTTAGTTGTTTTTTTTGTCTAAGACAATGCTTAGTTCACAAAGCTAGGTCCGAATTGTCTCCTGGGTTTTGCTTATTGTTTCATTTTATGCACTTCTTTTGTTTTAACCTTATTTAGTCATCTCTATTCTTGTTTGTGGTAGCTTTTCTAGATTCTACGATTTTGGATTCTGTGGACTGAAAAATGTTGCTTGTTCTTGCATTCCATGTACCCATGTGTTTTAAATAAAATTGAATCTCACACATTTTAGTAGTTGATGTTTTATAGTTTTGCTTTGAATAATTAGAAGTCTGATTTGGAAAGCCATCACTGTTAATGTTGTGCCAATGTTGTTGTTTTTGTCGAACTCAGCTTGGATATGTTTAATACTTTGACTCATCTTCTGGGTTTTGCTTATTATTGCCTTGTGTTTGGTGGGTTTGAGTGTGTGTGTGTTTAGTTTCTTGAGATCTAGTTGACCCACTGATTTGTAACGGAGGGTTTGTAATTTACCTTTTCTGTTAGCTTTTCTCTACTGTGACAACAATAAATGGTATATCAAACCCCCATCTTCAGCAAACTCACATAACTAGCTGTAGTTCATTAACTTCATCTTCTTCTTGTTTTTGCGTTAGATGTACAAGGTCCTCTTGTTATGTAATTACTGAAATCTTTTTGCAGATTCAAGGCTTTGGGTTTTATGCATTAGAAAATGCTGCTTTAAGTGTCTAATAGATTGTATGAATGATTAGAAACCAGCAATGAACTTGTAGTGGGGGTTGTAGTTTTGGACCTTTTGGTGGCTTTCATTTAATTTCTTTTCCTCCTTATTTTCCCCGGTGTGATCTCGCTCTGGTAATAATCCGTGGGATTAATATTCCCTGTTTATTCCCTCTTGATTTTCAGTGAACTCCCTCCTTGCCAATGAGTTGATTATCTATTCAAAGTCATGAAGATTAAAGGTGAAATTCTAGATTATTTAGATGGATGTAATGAGAATGGGATTGTTCATACAGACTTGCAGTGGTTTAAAGTTTATGCATGTGATTCTTGATAAAGGCATGTGTAAATTACTTTCTTAGCCCGAATATCTGTATACAATTTGTAATTTGTAATCTTTTATTTTTTGTTTTTTATTGGATTGAATTCATTGCTTTTGACATGAGACTTAGAGGTCTATTAAATGGCCAATTAAAATTTTAATTTTTTCCCTACAAGAGGTAATTATTTTAGTTACTTATAGGTTTTTATTAAACAAAGAAATATAGCAATGTAAAAGAACTTACTAATAAAGGTAAGTATTGTGTGCTTACTTTGGACCAATGTATGTTTCAAATGTCTGAAGATTGGAGCTTGGAGAGGTGATCTCCACTGAAGCACAATGTTTGCATTGGGTTGGGAGGCAAATTTTATATGTGGTTTTCATTGTAAATGATTGTTTGAATTCAGGCAAGATTGCAAGCTTACTGGAATTATTTGTAAATTGGTGTGGAGAATGCATGTTGTATGCTTATTGGGACTCAATTGTAAATTTGGTGTAGAGAATGCGTGTTGTATGCTTATTGGTACCTCTGTATTTATTTGTCAGAGATGGTTTGGAAGAAAGGTTGAAAAGATGAATCCTGATTTGTGTTCCATCTACTCTTATTTCTATTAGTGTTCCGTCTACTCTTATTTCTATGTTGATCAATGGCAGTTCATTTTGATTCATTAGAGGAAGATTTTGTGTGATATTATGCCAATCTTCTTCTGATGAGTTCCTTAATCTGATCAATTTTGATTGGAACATTTCCCCTAACCGCAAGTTTTTCACTGAGACACAAGACATGCATATCTCCTTCGATTAAGGCCCTTGCAATCTTTTCCACCTCTTTCCTTTCAAATTACTTAGAAGTCGTTTTTTTTTTTCACGAAATATTTGTACCACATATCAGACGTCCTTCATGTATATGGGGTCAATATTTTCTTTATTACATGAGGCACCTTGATGCTCCAAAACACATGGTGTGTGGATTGCATTATGCTAGACTCTGTAGCACAATCTTTGTGAAGTGAATGTTATGACCTCTTTAATAAGTTAGGGACCTTAGGGTCTGTGGCCTAAATAAGAGTATAAATTGAAGACCAAAATCAAATTAATGTCCTTAGTAGAACAATTATGGCGAAAGTTTCTTCTCTTTTGATCTGCAACAAAGGATGGACCAAAAGGACTGTCTGCTTCAAACTAGTCGACTTCTTTGATGACTGTTTTAGGCCATGTGATTATTCGATGTTGATTTCTTTCCTTTTTCCTTTTTACTAGTTATTTTGCTATGATATGTATCAGTTATAGAAAAGGGACTAACTTTTTCTTTAGGCTAGCTGACTCTCTCTCTCTTTCTCATACTAAAGTTCTCTTTAGAATATAAATCTCTTATCCAGACAACCATTTGCTCCTTTTGTCATAGGCTGGGTTAGAGCCCTCTTCATGACTGAATATTTAAAGATCATTTTTCTCTTGTAAAATTAAATATTTTCATGCATGTTTGGTCATTAGTGCACGATGAGTGATGGTTAACAACATAAACATTTCTCATCTTACTATTTACACCTAATTTTGTATGTTAACGATATGTTATATTAAATATATTTCATGCTAATGGTTTTTCTTCTTCTCCTTTTATATTTTTCATCTTGGTGCGGAGTAATGTGTTAAAAAAATATATTATATGGTGGACTTGTGGAACCTTGTGTTCTCCAAATGCTAGTCTTAGTTTTTCTACACATTCTTTTTCTCATAAATTTCAGCTGGCTATAATGTAGTTTTGCAAATCGTTGAGATGAACAAGTATTATTAGGTATATGTTTCTCATTTAATTCTTACAATCTATAATCGAATTATTTCAATTACTTTCCCTCCTCCCTTCCTCTTCTTCAAATTTTAACTTAAGTTTCTGATTTGAGCAACCTTGCTTTATGGACGAATAGATGAATAAGCATTTTATGGAGCACATTTACAGACACATGTAAAGCTATGTTTTATGTCTCAGGACCTGGGGGATTTGCCACATCCAACACCCCATTTTTTTGTTGGAGTGCCATACCCTTGTCCAAGTCCAGTCCAGTGATTGTGATTTTTTCTCAAGCTCACTTTTGTCCCCCCTTTATCAGCATACTACAGTGATATTTGTGTTGGTGCAATTGCATGCCGACTTGAGAAGAAGGAAGGCGGGGCTGTCCATGCTTACATCATGACATTGGGTGTTCTGGCGCCGTATCGTGGGCTAGGTATTGGTAAGTAATTTATTAAGTTCTTCATGCTGTGTCTCTTGTTTGGGGAACCTGAAAAGCTGCCTTTTAAATGTCAGTCCCAAGTAGGGAGACCATGTTTGGTAAGAACATTAATCAATGGAAGGTGTTAAAAAGTATATCAACATGCCTCTGTTTAACTTGCCTCCCACTATGGTCTAAATTTAGTTTCATGAGCTGTCAAGGAAATATTGAGTGTAGGTAGATCAGTGTCAAATTGGTAGCTGCATTTATGGTGGATATTGGACCAGAATTTAGGTGAAGGAGCGACAAAAATAATTGGAGGAGGAGAAATTTTGTAACGTTTTGGTTGATATGGATTTTAATTGTGCAGGTACAAAGCTGTTAAATCATGTTCTTGACCTTTGTTACAAGCAGAGCATTTCGGAGATCTACTTGCATGTTCAGACAAACAATGAAGATGCAATCAATTTTTATAAGAAGTTTGGGTTCGACATCACAGAGACCATCCATAACTACTACAAAAGAATTACCCCGCCAGACTGCCACGTTCTTACCAAGTTCATCACTCAACCTTAAACGAAGATATAACAATTCAGAACGAGGTCCTGCTGGGTTGTCGTTGATTATTGTTCTCTTTAGTCTTGGACTTCATTTTTGTATCAATGTGCACCACCCAATTTTTTAGGTTCTGAAAGTGCCGACAACTGCAGTTGGTAGTTATTGACCATTTCTTTTTCATGTTTATGATAAGTTAAACTCATTTGATGTTGATCTCTTTAGCCAAGAGCAGTTTTGAATTCTTGTATTTTATAGAGGGTTCATTTGTTGTTCACAAGGCCAAAAAAATACTTTATTTGTTAAGCATTCAGGCTTTGTAAGTTAGCAAAATATGCAGGAAAGGAAAAGAAAACAAAGTTTGGAATTACTTCTCTTCATGTTATAAACTTGAACTATATAGTCAAATAACAAATGGAGTCAAAACTGTATCAGGATCATCATTCAGGTTCATATGCATCCTCATTACAATGATGATGTTACAAATCAAGGCAACACTAACATAACACTTCAAAATTGACAATTTTACTTCAAGAATGCAGCACTTTTATATCGAAGTTACATTTTAATTATGCGATTTTACTGTAATGTTCGTTCGACCGAACTCTTTGACCTAGCAGAATGCATTAACCATTGGATGCATTATAGTCCCACAATTGTGCATGGGACCATAACGCATCTAAAGTGTTCGGTTGAACACTTAGGTCTTATAAGAATCATTATTCTTATAAAAAAGTTGACCTAATAATCTTTTCGAAGGCTGACACTTTTGATCCTTTTATTCGACAAGTTACTTACTTTAATTAATAAAAATTATTTTTCTTTAAGAATTCGCTGTCATATGTCAATCAGGGAAAGATCCACACTTGGACCAGCTCATGGACTGATTAGGTATTCCATCCAAACATTGCAAGTGAGGCAATGAGCCAAACAGCTACTCGTTCAAAGTTCAAACAAAGTCACATGAAGGAGAGAAACTGGGAAATTTGGTACACGCTTGATTTGCGGTTGAATGTCTCGTCCTTAGATAGAAGGGACAAAAACACACATATATATATATGTTAGTATATAATTATATGTATATATTATATACACACCGTCCCATAATTATGAGTAATGTTATGACAAGGACGTGATTAAATTAAGTTTGATGATGATGAGGTTGATCGATGAGTTCAATGCATGAAACTAAAGCGAGTGGTCACTCCTCTCTCGTCTGGCATTCCAATTGTATGTACATTGTAAAGCATCTTCTATGTGACGACAATAGATTCTTACGCGGTTACACGGCTTTTATTGAATGAGAGTGAATATGTGTCACTGTCACTCTTTACTCGACCGACACACCCAAAACATTATGCTGGGCATCATCCGTGTGGACCCTCCCTATTTCTCTAGCTTACTACCACCATTTATATATATATATATATATATATATATATATAAGTAAAGTACAGTCACACTTCCTGTGATTTGATAAAAAAACACTTAAATGAAATTTACTTATTTTTTAGACAAAGACACCTCTGAAGCTTCAAAAATGAACAAAGATACCCCCTTTATATGATAAATTGACCAAATTACCCTTTGACCATTTAGGAGACTTTTTTAACTTTACAATTTAATAAATTAAACTAATCTACCCTCATGAACAATTTATGAATAAAAAAAAGTAACCAAAAAAAAAGATTTTATATTGTTCACTTCTTCTTTTTCTCTTTTTACTTTATAAATGTTCCAACTTCTTAAAAATATAGACGTCTAAAATGATTTTTTGATCCAATACATATATTTCAAATAAATTATATTTTGTTATTACTTCTTTTCTTTTTATTTTTTATTATTAAATTAAGATGCTTAATTCTTTCATATAAAAAAATTAAACCAATTTGTTTTCCTTAAAAATAAAAAATACGGTACCAATATAACTTTATGCATCTTAAATTATATATCAAATATTATGCATTTCCCAACATAAAAGGGGAAAAAAATAACAATAAAACAAAGGAGGATAAAAAAAATAATAATAATAAAAAAAAGGGCATGCATAAAGTTATACTAGTACCTTTTTTTTCTTTTATATTAGGAAATGCATAATATTTGATATATAATTTAAGATGCATAAAGTTATACTGGTACCATATTTTTTATTTTTAAGAAAAAGAGATTGGTTTAATTTTTTTAGATTAAAGAATTAAGTATCTTAATTTAAAAATAAAAAAGAAAAAGAAAAGAAGTAATAACAAAATATAATTTATTTGAAATATTTGTATTGAATCAAAAAATCATTTTAGACGTCTAAATTTTTAAGAAGTTGGGACATTTATAAAGTAAATAAATAAATAAATAAAAATTAAAATAAAAAATACAATACAAAGTTTTTTTTTATTTTTGTTTTATGCACAAATTATTTATGAGGGTAGATTGGTCCAATTTATTAAATTGTAAAGTTAAAAAAGTTTCCTAAATGGTCAAAGGTAATTTGGTTAAATTTTCATGTAAAGGGGTGTCTTTGTCTAAAAAATAGGTAAATTCCCTCTAAGTGTCTTTTTGCCAAACATCAAGGGATGTGACTGTGTTTTACCCATACATATATATATATATTGGTGACTCAAATTTTAATTAAATTAAATTTTTATTTAAAAATTATATTTTATCAGGTTAAATAAGTCTTGGACTTCACATCATGATCGTTCTTAGATTTGATACTCGTTGATGTGAGATTCTGACACGATTTAGAACCGAACCTCGTGATCAATACTGATCTCGAAATGGTATTAATCGTGTTACTATCAAATGAATAATTTGTATGCTAAAAACTATACTTGGAGGATCAAGTGAATGATTGTATATTAAAGAAATAGTATTCATTTAATTTTTGTTGCCCCCACACTAATCCTTCATATATATATATATATATATATATATATATATATATATATATGCGAGCGCGCGCAAAGATAATTCCTTTTAGGTCAGAATTCAGGCCAATCTATAGACATAAGCTAGGTGGTTCTCACGAATTAGGATTGAACATCAAAACTATATATTTGCATATTGCATTCTATGTTACGTGACAAATTTGTACATTGAATTTTGAGTGTTTTAATAAATAATTTTTTTTAAAATTTTATTCCATTTTAAATCAAATTTGTGTTTTTAAATGATACTAATTAATACCGTTACATTTATCCATTTAATAAAATTTGACATGCTAGACTTGAATGTGGATTGAATGAAGGATAAATCTAGTAATGGAATGATAGAGATGGACATTGAAGATTGTATGGTTGTTAAGTTGGTTGATTTATAAAATGCATACTTTAATGATAGTGAGAAAGGTGGTTATGTACTAATTCCTATTATGGCAATACTTGTCTATTCATCGGCAGGATCTTTACTGATAAGATGTGGTCCAATCACACATGTACCTGTAATTACAAAATCTAAAAAATAATAAATAACGAAAACACATAAAGTGAATTTATTTCTAAAAAAATTATTTTCCTTATTTATTAATTTCCTAATTTTGCAATAATTGACTATATATGTATTTGTGATTTGATCGAGAGATCACCTACCTACTGATTAGTTGGCAAGTATCGTCCTTCCTATAATATGCAAAGTATTTATTTTAAAAAGTTAAATATAATTAAAAAATTACTAAATACGGAGTAGAAAGAAAAAAATTAAAAAAAAGTGAGTTTATGTAGCAAATGAGAGTAATACCCTTTTATATAAAATATACACTGCCACTTATGATGTGTAAATTTATTTCATCTCCAACAGTCTGTTAACCTACATTACCACATCACCAATGTATAAAAAGATTGTATAAAATACACAATATTTTTACACGACCAAATCAACATATTTTCTTTTTCATCCATCTTTCTCATTCCATTAAAGAATCAACCATATATTAATTAAGTTTGTAAAAATTATGTGGGCCCTGGCATGACACATGATTGATTATTATTGGGAGATATATTTTTACACAAAAGGTCTAAATAATTCAAATTTTTTGTGTAAATTCATCATCACACATCAGAGTTACACAAAAAAAATATATATAGACAATGGTTGGAGATGCAATGGTGATGATGGTGCTAATTTTTTTTGCATAAATATCTTAATTTTATAAAAATGATTTCCCACACAGAGACTTCTATAATTTTACATTTCATTTATTTATTTTCCAAGAGAACACTATTGTTATAGAATTATTTCAAAAAGTACTTTTATATTTCAACATTGACCATTAATTTATTAAAATTCAGTGGAGTACAAGTGTCAAATCATTTTAAAATTCTTCTTATAAATCCTATATAGATATTAATTTTGAAAATTTTCTTAAGAACAAACTTAACTTGAATAAAATATTTTAAATACATTTCATTTTACAAGACAATAGTAAATAACATGATCTAAAAGTATGATCTCTTTCAAATTTTGAATGAACTAATGTATATTTCACTTTTCTTTATCTGCACTATATTTGAATCATTTAAGTAAATATGATGACAAAATTAATCTCAAAACTGAAATGTATGAGATTAATGTAGATTAATAAGTGAAAATTTGAAAGATAATGGCATTAAAAACTAAAAATAATGACAAAAGGCCTGAAATGGTAATGCTCTGAATATTCACGGACTGTTCAATAAAAGTGATGTTTCACAGCTCATACATTTAGAAATCTTTCCTTTTCTTTCCTTTTCATTCTTTTTTACTAGTAACACTTTTTTTTAACACTTTCCTTTTCATTCGACACGTGACTATATATATATATATATATATACACTCCATATTCCGCACCAGCCAATAAAACATTGCCAGCTGTACAAAGATACAGATGCTGTGGGTCCCACGCGACCATGGCTCTCTGGCCTTTTTTGAACCCAGCCCTTCACTCACCTCCTTTGCTCTGTTCCTCTCTCTTTGTCCAACCAAGAGGCTTTTAGAGAGAGAAAGTAGGGGAGAGAGAGAGAGAGAGAAAAAGTAGGAGGAGGAGGAAAGAGTTGCCATAACTCTTATTTATATTCACCGGCCGGGTTTGCCGGCCGGCACCTGATATTTCCCGGCTGATTCTCCATCGCCGGCGGATCACTGCCATTATTTTGCCACCGTTGTGATTTTCTTCATACACAAGGTTTTTCTTTTCTCTGTTTACCAATTGATTCTCTATATCATGTATACATATTTGTATGCATGTATATATGCATACATTGTGTGTACATTTTTGCATATATGTGTGTCTGAAATTTATTGGAATCGGAGTGAATGGATTTGTTCATGGCGTGGAATGGAGTTTTGTTGTAAGAAAATCTGTATACGTTCTGTTTGAATGCCGAGAAAGGTGAGGAAACGAAAAGAAAATGAGGTGTAAAGCTGTATGAATTCTGATGTTAGGCGTTCTGTTTGCTTTGTGAGCCTAAATAGCTAAAAAGGAGAGAAATGTAGATCTAATTTTGTTTTTTTCCCATCTTTTTATTCTCTTCAGTTTCCACTTTCTCGAAAACCAAACAGGACCTATTGTTTTTTCAAGAGCATATATGCCGATTCATGAACAGGATATGAGGTTCCTAGAGAATGTCAATTTGCAATTTCACAATTTGTCGGTTTCATGCCATTGTGGCCTTTTAAAATTTGAGATTCGTTCTGTTTTGGTTCCAGCAAATGCATAATGTCGGATTCTCTGTTTCTAGAGCATATGAATGATGTTATTTTATTCATCTAAAAATGTGTGATGTTTGTACATTTAGATGAATTTCAAGGTATTTCTTTGAATTTTTCTATTTCATCTATTTGGATATTGTTCCTTTATATAAAACTTTTAATTTGTGTCAATTACTTGAATCCTACGTAGAGGCACTGCTTCTGTGAATAAAGTGAGTTAAACTTCAAAGATCTCTTAGCTCTGCTTTGTTACAATGATAAAAGGTTTTCCTTTTAGTGATCCCTTTACACTTCATTACTTCAAAGAGAGAGAACATAATATTAATTTAGAATCATCAACCACATGTATAGCAATAATTTATTCTGTTTATATAAAAATAAAAATTTGAAGAATGAATGTCTTTTTTGTTAACATTCAGGGTGTCCCTACAATCTTATGAACTAGTCATTGGCAACCAAATGACTGTCATTTTTCTTTTTAATGATTGTTTATATTGGATATATATGTTGATATAAGTTACCTTCTTTCTTCGATTGCAGCCTCTACAATGGATCTTATAAGAACTCCATTCGGAGGGGTCATCAAAGATGTCCGAGGGAGAGTACTTTGTTATAAGAGTGATTGGGTTGATGCACTTTGTTCAGGCTTTAGGTATTTTCTTTTGTATTATATGAATACATGTTGAGTGAGCAGTTGGTTGTTTTGGTCATTGGTGTTGTTAACTTTCATTCATTCTCATTACTGATCTCAGGATATTGGCTCCAACGGCATATATCTTCTTTGCTTCTGCTCTTCCTGTCATTGCCTTTGGAGAGCAATTGAGTAAGGAAACAGGTACATCATTACCCTTTCTCTATAATATAGATTTTGCAATTTTTTTTTTCTTTTTCATTTGCAAGAAACACACTCACATACTACAATGCCCCTATGAGGACTTGAACCCTCGACCTTTTCCTTTGGAAGGCGAGGAAGTGCTGTTAGGCTACACCGCCTTTGGTAAAGTTGATGCAATTTTAGGTCATGAACTATTGATTCACCCTGAAAATTGTTGTGTTATGCTAGATGGAAGCTTGAGCACAGTCGAAACTCTAACTTCTACAGCTATATGTGGAATCATCCACTCGATTTTTGGTGGGCAGCCTCTGTTGATTTTAGGAGTTGCCGAACCCACGGTTATAATGTACACTTACTTGTACAGTTTCGCCAAAGGAAGGTCGAACTTGGGGCAGGAGCTATATCTAGCTTGGGCCGGATGGTGAGGAAATCTCCTCATTCTTTTCTAAACCATTAGAAATCTTTATGGCATCTTGAATCAGCAGATGGTTCTATATTTATTTATGTATTTACCAATACAGGGTTTGTGTATGGACTTCTATCCTTCTGTTTCTTCTTGCAATATTCAATGCTTGCACAATCATCTCTAGATTTACGAGAATTGCAGGAGAACTTTTTGGCATGTTGATTGCTGTTCTTTTCATACAAGAGGCTATTAAGGTATTTATCTTATAAACGATATAAACCAGTTTTTTAGCTTTGAAAAGCCTTCAAAATATGGTTTAACTTTGGTTATGCTTGAATCACAGGGGCTGGTGAGTGAATTTAGTATTCCCGAAGGTGATAATCCCAAGTTAGAGATATATCAATTCCAATGGCTTTATACGAATGGGTTGCTGGCGATAATTTTCTGTTTTGGTCTACTTCTTACTTCCATCAAGAGTAGAAGGGCTAGGTCTTGGCATTATGGCACAGGTACATGAATGGACCCATAGTGAATTAATTGTAGTGACATTAATCAATTGACGAGGATTTCATTGTTTGTTGCCTGCTTAATACAGGGTGGCTCCGAAGTTTCATTGCAGACTATGGGGTTCCCCTTATGGTGGTGTTGTGGACAGCATTGTCTTATAGTGTGCCAAGTAAAATTCCTTCTGGAGTACCAAGGAGGCTTGTTTGTCCTCTACCTTGGGATTCTGAATCATTATACCATTGGACAGTGATCAAGGTATCGATTTTATGATTAATTGTCTCATTGGTTCCTTTTGTGAAGATATCATTTATCCTTGTAGACTGTTGTTTCATTGACTTTAGGAATTATAGGCTGAGATCTGAACTAGATTTTGTTGTTTTGGGTTTGGGATACTGTCAGAGAAACTCCTATTTCTCTTTCTTAATCGTCTTATTATGAAGGAAATGGGTTTTGAAAACATCATGGGCCATAGAGAATAGTTTTTTGCTGAAGATTCGCATGAATTGATTAAGAGAGAATTATTCGCCGCATACAACAATATCTGGAAGACTGGAACCATGCCATTCCCCATATAGGTCTAAATCTGACTTAGATCTTCCTTTATTTAGTTGAGTTGAAAGTTTGAAAACTTTACTATCTTGGGTCTGTTAGTGACATTTAAACTTCTTTTGTCTAATTTAGGTCAGGTTATTTAGTTTACAGAGAAGATAATAAGGTATCAGACTTTTGAGACCAATCAGATAGGTTTCCGTTTTAGGACATTTCTCATGCCAAGTCTCTCTTTTTTTTTATTTTTTTTATTTACTTTTTTGAGATTTGCATTTCACTGCCAAGTTTCTTCTACCATATAAAGGTTGAAATATTGCTGAATATACATCTAAAAACTTGAGGAAAAGATCAAGATGATATAATTAATCACACGCTTCATATGATCAAACTGCAGGATATGGGGAAAGTCCCGGTGGCATACATTTTTCTTGCCTTCATACCAGCCGTGATGGTAGCAGGCTTATATTTTTTTGACCACAGTGTAGCTTCACAAATGGCACAACAGAAGGAATTCAATCTCAAAAACCCGACCTCATACCATTATGACATCCTGTTGCTAGGATTCATGGTATATGTTTTTCATTAATTTAATTTTTTATTTGCTAGTATGGTTTATTTTCAGATTCATGGCCTTTGTTTTTTTAGCAATTTTTAGTTTTTCTTTTTGTAAGTTTTGGTTTACTTTTTTATTGAGTAGTTTTAGTTTACATTTTTTCTTTAGTCATATATCTGGTTATGGTTTATGGTTTCAGACCTTGATTTGTGGGTTGCTTGGACTTCCTCCTTCAAATGGTGTCCTACCACAATCTCCCATGCACACCAGGAGTCTTGCAGTCCTTAAGAGGCAGGTGGGATTTGGGATTCTGAAAAAAAATCGTTCTTACATTGCTTGATTAACACACATGTTTTAAATTTTTACTAAATATGATCCATGATTTGCAGTTGATCCGAAAGAAAATGGTGAAGAGTGCCAAGGAATGCATGAAGCTACAAGCAAGCAACTCAGAAATCTATGGAAAGATGCACGCTGTGTTCATCGAGATGGACGCTTGTCCAACTGTAAGTGTTCTAAACACACATTTTGGTGTTTGTGTACACTTGCGTGTGTGAATGTGCCCATGCTTATGGTAAGTAAATTATGGATTTGCTGCAGCCTACTTCTGTAGATAAGGAATTGGAAGACTTGAAGGAGGCTGTAATGAAATATGATGATGAAGGAGATGCAAAGGGAAAATTTGATCCTGAGCGGCATATTGATGCTTACTTGCCTGTCCGAGTTAACGAACAAAGAGTAAGCAACCTATTACAATCCATTTTTGTGGGCATTATGGTGTGTGCTATACCTATGATCAAGATGATACCTACCTCAGTTCTTTGGGGATACTTTGCCTACATGGCCATAGATAGCCTCCCAGGAAATCAGTTCTGGGAGAGACTGTTGCTGCTATTCATCACTCCAGCTCGGCGGTTCAAGTAAGTCATGCATCTTTGTCACCCTGGAAATGAAATTTTCCCACTATATTGATCGGCCCAGCTCAAAATAGGCTCGTTTCAAGTCATGTGAATTATATAACAGGCTATCTTGTAGAGTAGCATGTATAATTTTATGATTCCCATTTTTATCTTACATCTTTTTCTTTTATTGTCTATGGCAGAGTCCTAGAAGGGGCCCATTTATCATTTGTGGAATCAGTACCTTTCAAATACATTGCCTGGTTTACTCTCTTCCAGTTTGTGTATTTACTGGTTTGTTTTGGGGTGACATGGATACCTGTAGCTGGAATATTGTTCCCTTTGCCGTTCTTCCTGCTCATAAGCATAAGACAACATGCTCTCCCCAAACTGTTTCCTCATCAACATCTTCAGGAACTAGATGCGGCTGAGTATGAGGAAATTATTGGCATCCCAGTCCGCAGCAGGAGTCTCTCCCTCAGGGTATGTAATTTCCTTCTTGTGAAAATACTGTGTCATTCATGATGATGATTGTCTTGCATTGAATTTAGGATGCAACTTCATTTGAAAATAACAGCAGAAAAAGGATCATGTAGCTGACCCCAAAGTAGTACGATTAAGGCGTTGATGAGTTGAAATTAGGTTGTATTGTGTTGGTATATGGTGAAGTCCCTTGGTCTCATTAGGTAGGAGGGAGGAAAGATGAAACATTTATGCCTAAACCTTAATTTTATATGCACTCATCTGAAAAGACTTACAAGAGATATATTTAACGTCACTTTTATCCAGTATTACTTGTGTTCTGTTACATTGCACTGGGAAAGGAACAGTCTTAAAAGAAACACATGCTCACAATAATTCACATTGTATATTTTTTTTGCTTAGTGTCACAATTGAAGTATTCGCTTCCCTCCTGTGGAAGATTGAGCTAAATGTTGTTCCATTATATTCTGTAGGTTAAAAATATCACGATGTTTTAGCTAGACTTAAAAATCTGTATCAGGAAAGTCATATTTGGAATGGACAGGTTCAAGCTCTGATAAAGGTGGACATAAAATTTAGTTATATCAAAAGAGCTGAATGGAGATGATGAATTTATGTAGCTAATCCAAGTTGTTTCGATTAAAGCTCGTTGAGTCTTAATTTGAGTAAATGTTTCATTTTGATTGTCAAGAGTCTTAAACTTCTAATAATTGCATCTGTGGGCATGAAAACGTTCGAGCAGGAAAGAGAACCACCTGATCCAGGGAGCAGCGACGAAAGTGGAATAGATTTATCTGCTGCAGAGATATTGGATGAGATAACAACCCATAGAGGGGAGTTGAAGCTTAGATCAGTAAGCTTCAACGATAGGCAATCCCAGGTAAGCAACTTTTTCTAAAATTAATATTTACTCTAATTTTTCGTTGTTTCTGGTAGAATGATTCCAAAGGAGCGCTTGTTATTTCAGGTTCACCCAGAAGGCAATGGCCGAACGTAGTGTGAGAATATGTAATGGCATTGATGCTGCTAATGTTTCTCTGAGAAGAGTATTCAAGATTCATGTACAGAGGTGGCTGTGGATGAAACACTATATATATTTTATATTTAAAAGAAAACGGAGGAAGAAAAAGAAGAAGAGATACTAATCGCAGAAAGAAGGAAAGAATGAATCATCCGAAGCGATTACTAATCTTTTCCCAGCAGGGGAACCATTTTTTTAACAGGAATTATTTTATAACAGTTTGATCATTGCTGATATTTTCGTTGCCATGTCGAAGGAAAAGAATGAGATTGAGGAAAGGGAATGTGAAGAGAAGTGGGGAAGACAAATCAACAAGGGTTATGACTGGAGTTTTCATTGCATACTTGATGAACAAGGATTGTAGTTTTCTTTTAAGGTGACTATCACATATTTTTTTGAAATCTGTTGTCTTCTCTTTATAACAGGTAGTAGATTTTGACGATGTAATTAATAAAGAAAACGGTGAATGAAGAGCTATTTTTTATTTAGTGTTTTGTCCCTGGAATTTTAATTGTTAGAATTTTTTTTATTCGACCCTTGTCGTACATTTGGCTCAGGATGAAACATTTTTTACAATGCTTCCTACGAATGTGGATGAACAAAGGAAAATGGTCCCTTGAGATTTTATGTTCTCTCTTCTATGTTTTAAAAGAGCAAAGTAGTAATGTGGGGATTGATGAATAATTTTCTTTGTATATGCCATGTGAGTAATTTACCGAATAATCTTCATCAATCAACATTATCTATGAAATTGTTTCTTAGTGAGTTCCGAATTGATTGGTAGGTTGGGCTGGGGTAAGATTGTTCCATTGTGATTTAGGTTCGAATCAAGAAACGTTTTTTTTGCGATATAAAGTTGCGATTTTAACAGCATCAAAAGATTCATAACACACTTAATTAACAACCAAATTTCTTTAATCAATGGAAAGGAGAAAAGATGAAAAATAAAGATAGAATAGTATCACTAATCAGTAGAAATAATATAAGACTTTCTTGTCAACAAAAAAAATAAAAAAGAAACAAAAAGAAATAATTGAATAAATAACTATGTCATATGGTTAAAATGTTGCCTTTTTTTTTTTCCTCAAATCACTTCAAATAAAATGTTTCAAATATGTTACTTTTTGGGGGTTGGAGAGATACTGTATGTAATTATCCAATATTAGTCTTGAAGAATTTATAAAATAGAAAAAAGATTCAAACAACTTCAAAAGGCAGCTCTTGATGTTATTCTTATTAAAAAAAAAATGAAAAATTTCCTCTTCAACCTTGGGTAGTCGATTAAGTCCAAACAACTAAAATTTTAATTATCAAAAAAAAAAAAAACTATAGTATGAAGGCACTCATTTTTAATGTGAAGTCCCTCACTAATACGACGCCGTTTCTCCTGGTCATTTAACATCTACCTGCGGCAAACATCTTCCCTAAAATGGTAATAAATACCTCACGATTATTCCAGAAAGAAGATATCTTCCAGATATACCCGGAGAGTGGCGGAGACTCAACACTGAGCTAGAGAGAGAAAGAGAGGAGAGAGAGGGAGAGAGCTGCGCAGGTAGCCATGTTTTCATCACTCATGAAATGGATCGTAGACCCGAGGAAGAACTGGCTTGCATCTGTTCATATGAAAACCATATCTAATCGCCTCCGTAGATACGGTTAGATTTTTTTGCCCCAATTCCTCTCTTTCTCTCTTTATATATATACTCCGTATATATATCAATTTCGAATCCTTAGTTTTACATTTCCGATTGTATTTTTCTATATGTGTGTGTGAGATTAGGGCTTCGATATGACGACCTGTACGATCCGTACTTTGATTTGGACATAAAGGAAGCACTGAATCGGCTTCCTAGAGAGATCGTTGATGCGAGAAACCAACGCCTTAAGCGAGCAATAGATCTGTCAATGAAGCACGAGTACCTCCCCGAGGACTTGCAGGTCTCTATTTATCTCCATCTCTTTGGTTGCTCAGAAAATGTATCGGAAATGAATAGAAAACTTTGGATCTTATGCTTTTTATTAGTTTTGGTTTCTGGATGAACTTTATTTAATTGCTGAGAAAATGTATATGAAGAAAGGAGAAGTAAAGAAGATAAATTTGAAGGACTTCTATAGGCGTTTTGTTGTTTTTGCATCAGAAAAGGCGTAGCTATATATATATATATATATATATATATATATATATATATATATATATATTTTTTTTTTTGTCTTTTTTATTTATATTTTTTTGGTTCTCTTTTTGCTAAGTTTGGTTATTAGAGAAAATGAAAATGTTGGGTCAAACCGATCCTCTTGTGGCCTCTTTGGCTTGGGAATTGGCTTTTGTTTGCCAACCTCTAGGTCTAGAGTTTGAGGATTAATGGAGAAGAAGAGAGGGAAAAAAATTGTTGGGTCAATTAAAATCAGTTATTAGTAATTTAGTTTCAATCTTAGTTGAATTACACACACACAAAATGGTTCATGTTGGCTGTTTGTTTGAAATGCTGTTGCTTCTGAGAAAACAGAAGGAATAAAGAAAAAAGACAGGAAATGTTTGAATTGTGTATATATATATATATATATATATATATTATTTTATTTTTTTTCTTTTTCTTTTTTCTAATTTTGAATTTCTTTAATTGGTACATTGTTATGGTTTTGTTCATGTCTCATTTTCATGTTTCTTATATTTTGTTGCTCAGAAAATGTATGTGGACAGAATTGCACTTTGGTTTTTCTGTTATATCTTTCTTATTTCAAAGAAATGAAAAAAATTAGCCTTAGCTAAACCAAATATATTTTATTGTAGTTGTCTTCTACTTAATGGATTACATTAATGTTTGTATCATTGTATGTATCAAATTCCATATATATATATATATATATATCATATTTGTTTGGTTGGTGAGAAAACATGAAAGCAATGAGAATTAAGAGCACATTTTAACTAAGATTTTGGAGTTAGACTATATTTATATGTTTGTTTTAATTATATTTTCTGAAAATCCTTAACAGGTGGTTCATTTTTGGAAGGATATTTTCCCTTTATTTCTTCAAATATTCATTTTAGAATTCTCTGTAGGAGAGACCACGCTTTCCGTCAATAAATTGTTGGTTTACTGGTATTGTGAACGCATTAGAAATCTCAATTGAGAGAGAGTAGAGTTTCAAAACGGAGTGCATTGGTTTTAGAGGGTATGCATTACTTTTATGGTTTGATGAAGAAGAATAATAAGAAGTGTCACGCTTCTAAGATGTGAACACATTTTGAGAGCCTGAATCAAATTTGGCATTACCTTTCGTTTCTTGTGCTTTGCTATAATTTTGGTTTTTTACTATTTGGTGAGAATTAGAGAAACTAAGGTCACACCATCACCTTTAGTACATTTATAATGTAACATTCATCATAAAAATGAACCATGGAATGTCAATATAATTACAGCATAGCTGTCGTGTTTTGCTCGAGTTGGGGCTTTCTTAAGTTTTCTCATTCAATAAACAAGTCTGAAGTTAAAGCTTGAGCTCAGCTTGTTCGTAATGAGTTTGAACAAGCTATAATTGAGTTGAGAGGCTTGAACCTGAATTGTAAATGAGCATCTCAAATTGTTTGCAGCCTTAGTGGTGAAAGTGTATGACATGATTAATTACTTTTTAGTACTTCATCTCTTTTTCTTAGTGGTCTTGGTGGAGAAAGTAACGATATTTTTGGGTTTGTATGACATAGGAACTTCATATGGTAGTAACTGTAAGGTTGGTATGTTGTTGGTATTGCTGTGGACCTCTGTAATTGTATTTGAACTTTATTTGATTTGTATACTCAGTGTCTCACCACTTGGAGGAATATAATATTATACTCCCTCTGTCCCAAAAAAGATGTCATGCTTTTCTTTTTGGTCTGTCCCAAAATAGTTGTCACTTTCCTTTTTCAAACAATATATTTTACATCTTTCCATATATGTCCTTGGAGTTTAAAATTTCAAACTTGAATATTCAAAACTTAGAAGGGCAAATTAGTAACTTTTTAAGGAGACAAGGCATGTCCCACATGTCCCCTTAAAAATTCCTACTCCCCAAAAATGACATCTAAATTGGGACAAAGGGAGTAATACAGAAGAAATTTAGACTAATGAACCTAATATGGGAATGATAAGTCAAATGAATAATAAAGTGGTGGGGAAATCACTTAAATATACGGTACTTAAACCACTTAAATATATAGTGAATACCTGATTACATGATATTATGCAATAAATATATAATGAGAACCTTAGAAAATTTAGGAATTGAATGGTTAACAACTTATTCAACAAATTTTTGGGATAATATATGATCATAGATCAATTGGGTTAAGTCATTTATAAAAATAATGGAGATATGTGGCAATTCCAGAGGAATTAAACCAACAAGTCGTACTATGAACTATGGGAATGGCTAATGAACAAAGATCGAGGAAAAATTCAATAGCGTCTGAGAACAAACTTAGATTTATGCTAAGTAGATTTACCATGGAGGTCGTGTACTAAATAATGCAATTAATAAAAGATTGCAGAACTCAAAAGTCAGATCTATACATGATTTTTATTTTACACTAAGAGAAGGTATATGTACCGGAAAATATAGTTTGCTGTGCCCTACAAAAAAGAGGAACTCGTATCATTTTAATTAAATTATCCAAAAAAACTTGTAAGGATATAAGGACTAGAGTTTGCACTATATTTGGAAAAACTAATTTTTAAAATAGGATTGAGCTCTATATACGCGCACTATATTACAAGAAACTACAAAAGACTGACAAAATCCAAGGAGCATGTTGTTTTTGGATTATACAGTTCTTATAGATGTTCTAAAAATAAGAATGAGAGCATCAAAAAATACATTAAAAGTCAAAAGATCAAAAAATTTGTAGAACTAAAATGTAATATGTGGAGTGTAAATTCAATGGGTATACAACAAATAACAATATTATGAGTCCCGACAACAATTAAAGAATAAAGGATTATTCAAAATAAATGCTTGATAGTTAGATGAAAAGGATAGAGAAATAGACAATGATATAACAAATAGGATTGAAACATGTTGCACAAAATGGAGATAAGCTGGTATTATGCTATGTGATGTATATATATATATATTATGTTGGTTGAAAGGGAAATTTTATAGGATGGTTTCTAGGCCAACTAATTTATATAGAGAGAAAGGTGGGGTATTAACTAGAAATATGGATAACAAAACAATTTCAATGAAATAAGAATGGTTCAATGGATGATAGGAGTAACTATGATTAATAATCAACATTTTGGAGAGAAATTATGAGTGACATGATTAATGACAGATAAGCAAAAGAAGGTTTCAGTGGTATGAATATATATAATGTAAATTAGTAGCTGGTAGATGCACCAATTAGGGGAAAAAAAAAAAAGAAAAGAAAAAATGGCAAAGCTGATTAAATTAGAATTTTAGACACAAAGAAACATACCAAAACTAGAATGGAATTAAATAGCATGCACATTTTACTTTCAAAACTTTATTTCAACTATCTTCTATTACATCTTCACTAAAACCTTAGAATGTTTCATTCAATATTTTAATCATTTGCTATCAATGTCTGTCATTTTGATTAAAAAAAATAAAAATTTGTGACATCAATATGCCATTGCGATTAGCCCATATTTTCATCTTCACATTGTTTCTTCTATCAGCATCATAGTCCTTTCCAACACCTGATGTGTGGAATAGTCTGTGGCTCTATGTAAAAATATGTCCCGATAATTGGTCTACCTCTGTCCCGGTGTCAAGGTTTCAAGACTGGTATGGATAAAGGGAAACAAAAAAATAAATAAATAAAGAAAAGAAAAAAGAAAAAAGAAAAAAAAAAAAGAGAGAGAATATGTCCCTATATTTGGTTGATTGGAGAAGAAAGATTTATGCATGCAACCCCAATGGTATTGGAATTATTTTTATACCTGGGATGAGTATTCTTCTCATTGATGCCAGTTTTGTTGCTATTTGTCAACACTTTTACCTTTATTATGTAATTAAATTGCCTAAATTTGTGAATCAATGTTGCAGTATCTTTCCAGTCTTTTGTTTATGGGGATGTTGACAGCTAAGGTTCCCCCCCCCCCCCCCCCCCCCCCCTCTTTCCTGTTTTGTTCCTGTGCGATTTTATGAGCAAAATGTTATTTTTATGATCAAAATGTGCGCGCGCTTTCTAATCTTCTCAAACTGCGGTTTTGTTGCTTCATATCACTTTGGAATTTTCTGACAAAGTGGGGTTGGACTTTTAGAGTTTAATTTTCAACCATTTGAGCTCTTTGAATGTATGTTAAGAGCTTATGTTTCATATTAGACTATCACTCTTCAACATGAATTTAACTTAGTTCGTAGATCTGGAAAAAGAAAAACTTTGTTCCAATTAATCATTGTTGATGTGCTTGATAATTGTTTCTAGAAATAGATGAGGGCATTCAACCTGTGACCTCTCTTGCAGTTTTGTTTGGGTGTGCAACTTTATTGACTTTTAATCAACATCAGCACTCATTTTTTTCTTACTCTTTCACAGGCAATGCAGACCCCATTTAGGAGTTATCTTCAAGATATGTTGGCTCTTGTAAGTTCTTAAATAGCTTATGTTTCATGCTTTTTGTGAAATTCTACAATTTTGCTTACAAAATAATGTGGATATATCATTTTACATCCTCCTTTTTATGACAATAAGGGAGACTACTTTTTTATCGTATTAATTATGAGGTTAAAGCTTACCTATTTGTTAGATGATTATATAATAAATATGTTAAGAGGTTTCCACTACCACATTTATTTGTGGCAGTTGTTAAACAACTCAATTATCAAAGCTCCAGTGGGTAAGTCACTTGGACCTGGTGCCTCATGAAGTATCATGTCTAAGGTTCGACTCCCCTTGGATGCAAACAATTCCTTGGAAGGGGGTGCGTGAGTTTCAACTAGGAAAACCAAAATTTATTAGAGCTCCAGTCATTTGAGGGATAATCTAGGTGAAGATTATTTTTACTATGAATTCTTTTGGGCACTCTGAGCATTACTGGCATATTGAGTCACTGATGTCAATCTTCCTGGTATATATATATATATATTTATATATATATATATATTCTATTCTAGTATGTGAAACACAACTCTTTTGATCCTATTAATTGTACATTCTTCTTTCTTCAGATATGTTTAGGGAATGTGACTTTTTTGCTATGTGAATGGTTTACTGGGATCTCATATACTGTAGGAACTAAGAACTTTTGTGACAAGTTTTGCAATTAAATTCATTTCTCATTGATTAATGTTGATCTTTTGCTAGGTTTATCCAATTGATCATAGGCTCTGCATCCCAAATTTATCCATTATTAACCTTCAATGATACAGAACTGATGTGGTTGTGTCCCCGGGATGAATTAGCTTATATTTGTTCTTTTTCAAGCTGTCTATACCTAGCACCTTTGCTTTGGACCTCAACTTGGATTCTCAAATGGAGCTTCTGTTATAAATATTAGCATCGTCAATTTAAATTACGTGTATGATTTTGATGGCTGATATAAGAAAGTCCCCAAAAGATATTTAGGCTTCAGAAATGGCCTTTGCTTTATTTTTTATTTTGATAGGTAAGGCACACACCCTCCTTGCCCCAGTTGGAGCTCAAAACTGTCAATCTATTCTCTTCTTTTGGGAGGTGGTGAAGATACCGCTCAAACTATATCTATATATATATATATATATATATATATATATATATTTTTGATATATATATATATATATATATATACATATATTTCCTAGTTGGTTACTCACACGCCCCTACTCCAAGGAATTGTTTGCACCTAGCATGAATCGATCCGGAGACCTGATGCTTCATGAGGCACTAGGGCCCTAGTCTTTTCCAACTAGGCCAACCCCTTGGGGTTACCGCTCAAACTAATTTTTGGTGTTGCCTTTGCTTTAATTGTCTTATGTATCAGGCAATCATTGTGTAAAAGTATGTAAATTAGCTGTCTCATCCCTGGTTTGATCAATTTTTATATCTGGTTGTACTTCATTTTGGTGTTCTAGCATAGACTCTTTTATGATTGAGGACTTTCTGTAGGCTTTGTATTTTTAATGTCTTCTTAAGGATTGATAAATGGACTTTGCTTGAATTGCCTTGTATATTAGGTAATCAGTATGTGCAAATATCTTTTATGGACTAAGTGACAGCTGTCCTTTTTTCATCTGCTACCCTAATTTGGACATGCTGTGTTATCCACTAAACAATGTGTTTATACACGCTTGTTCACATGCATGTCTTTTTCCTGTTTTAATCGACTATTAGTATCATAAGCCGGTCTGTTTTCTGTGCATCACCTCATAACTAATTTTTATGCGTTTTTGTCCATTTTGAAACTCTTGTTGTCGTGTGCTTAGTAGCATTTTTTAAATGATATTATCCACTTTCTGCGTTCAAGTTTCTGGTTCCTGTTGTCAAGTGTGTTGTTACTCATCTAATGCTAGTGAAGGACAACTGTTTTTACATTATGTTCGTTCTGATGCACCTAGCCAATTATCTTGTGGTGCTTTTATTTGAAGTCTATATCTATCCTGATATAGCTTTTTTTGGGTTTGTCTGGTTCATTTTGTTAACTGATCAACTTGATAAGGTGCTGCCTAATCAATTCTGTTGGCTCATTAATATGCTTTGGCTTTTCTCTTCATTTACGGTGGCTTTTTCTGTTACTTATGGGCAAAAATGTTTCCACTATCTTGGCCACCTTTTTCAGTCTTCCCCCTTGTTGTTTCCATGTGTTGATGTGTACCTGAACATTTTTCATTGATGCTGTCATTAGTAGTAGTTTGTGCATGATCAAATATTTCACTCTTTATATAGATTTGTGTTCGGCCCTAGTTTATTGACCTCCATGCATCAAGGTCTTACCTTCATTTACTGATTTCGTGGGTTGTCATATAGTGCCGGAGATGATCTAGAATGGTGGTTTAATATAGTGCTTCTTTTCTTTTGCAGGTGAAAAGGGAGAGAGAAGAACGTGAAGCTCTAGGAGCTTTGCCTCTCTATCAGCGCACCATTCCATGAGCCTATCTCCTTATCTGCTGGTGCAAGTACTTCTGATTGAATTACATTTTCTATTGAAAAATAAGAACAATGCTTTTGGTAGGTTTCCATGGACATGCATGCATGGCAACTGAATGGCTGAACTAATAGCTACAATTGTTCACATTCGAACTATAATCTTTTGGTTGGACAGCTTGAGCACGTCTTTCTTTTAGGCAGAATTGTATGCCTGTAATGTTGGGTTCTCTGCTTGCATATTTCTGCTATATAATTAGTTAATGCTCGTGTTTGGACAATTTTGTCCTGAACAATTCCAACTATATATAAACTTTTGTTTTGATCATCTGTTGGTTGGACTGCTTGAGCAGGTCTTTCTTTTAGGGAGACTTGTATGCATGTATTGCATCCGTGCTCAATAATCAGTTAAGGCTTGTGTTTGGACAATTGGCCATGCCAAAACCGACTGTTGCCATATTAGAAAGAATGGTACATTCGGATAAATAAATGCAACTTAATGAAGGGAATGTTAGATTGTAAGTGAATCCTAGCAAATGATGCTTTGAAGATCTGTTAATAGAAAAATTCCTAGTAGAGGCATTATGACTTTGAAACAAATTCATAGCATACCTCTATGAATTTGTCATAAATATTCATCTAATTATGCATTCAGAGTTGCCCACTAAACTTTTGAGACAGTCAAAAGAGTTGCTTACCTTGTTGCTACATATTATTACTACTACTAATACCATTTCAGCTTACTTTTTACTACTGCTTGTACTCATTATATTATTTGTATATAAATAGTACTCACTCAAAATTTGGCCTTCTCTTTGAGTTGGATGCTTCTCCATACAGCTGAATTTAAACAGCACATGGCATGGATGTTATAGGTTGAATATGACAGCATCAACTCTATATAGCTTGATAAGAAATTTAGTTATTATTTGAAAATAAGGCAAGTCTTATAGAGGAAAAGAAGGAAGGATGCACAATTTACCCTTGTACCCCAAAACAAAAAAAAAACAAAAAAAAAAAAAAAAAATAGAAAGAAGAAAAAGATGTGTGTGCGCGCGCGCGCATAACTACATATGTAGGAGGGTAATAGCAATGGATATCATTACTCTTTTTTCTCAGGTTCTAATTATGCCAATTATGGCATGCAATTGTTAATGTAGATCACACAGAGTGTACACTGGATTGACGTGTACGAATCTCTCCCTTTCACTTAACATGATATGCCTCCAGATTGGGTGCATGAGCATTTGCCGTTAGGTGTCTCTTTCTTACATGTAGTATAGTACCTTCGTGGATGTGATTGATTACACGTTCGATTGACTTTGTTGTCCTTGCTACATTTATCTTTTTCCTATGAATTAATTGCAAAAAATCTTCTGTCAACTATTGAAAATGTTGTAACATTTCAATAGCTGGGGGAGAAAGTGACATGAAATTGATGGTTGTGGTCGTGTATTGATGAAGTTGATGTTTACTGCGTTCATTTATAATTGTTATTGTATAATCATCTCATGAAATTGATAATGATCTACTGTTTTATTCTGCACCGACAATCTAGTTAGGATGTAGGAAACTTTTGTTCTGGTCTGTTTCATTAACAAGAAGGGACACCTAAGATTTGGGGAGGAGGATCTTGGCCTTCCTTGGGTTCGCTTCTTGTCCATATTGTATTTTTTTCTAAGATTTGTTTGAATTGCCTCTGCCTTTATGCTCCGTTTGGTGAGAATGAAGAAAACTGGATAGAAGGGAGAGGAAAAAGGATGAATGGGACATCTTTAGGAAAGAGATTATGTCATTTTCGCTTTTTGTTTGGTTGAATGGAAGAGAAGAGAATGAAATTATACTTTATTTTTATTTTGTTTGTTAAGAGAGAATGAAAGAGAATGTTAATTTATCAAATAATTAAAAGGATAGTTTTGAAATTTAAAAACTTTCATAATAGTCTTTACCCCTTTTTTTTCATGTCTTCCCTTCTATATTTGAAGGGATAAAATTTGTTGAGAGATGAAGGATGAGTCATCTATTCTCTTTTCTTTCCTTTCTACCTTCTCTGTCAAACTAAAGGAAGTTTTAATATTTTCTTCCATTTTTCCTCCACCCCTTTCTACCTTCTCTCTGTTTTGTGTGTGGTTGTGTGTCTATATGGTTATATATTTCTATGGGAAAAAGAAAAGGAAAAAGTAATGCCTTTTTTGAACTGTGAAAAAGGAATGTTTTTTTTTTTTTTTTTAACTGTGTGTGAGGGAGAGAGACGCACAGGGCGGGGGAGCTGCGGTTGAGATTTTTAATCAGATTTCTATAGCTATTATATTCATATAGAGGAACCAATAATTGTTTTGAAGAAACAAATTTGAATTCTGTGATTAATTTTTCAATAAACTTCCTACTTATTCAAATATTACAATTAAATTTTACCATTTTTTTTTTTCTAAAATTCTTAAATTATTCCAATAATTGTAAAAGTGCTCATATTTTAGAACTTTTCAAAATTTTATTAAGTGTTATTTTTTTAATTTTTTAGCGTACCTTCTGAAATTATAATTTTCAGATTACTAAATGGACAATGTAAAAAGGAAGTTCCTTATAATAAAAAATTGAAATGTGTTCAAAAAATTATGTAATATTTAAAAAAATAAAAATGAATGAAACTCATTTTCGATAGGTATGTATATATATAAAGAGATTACATATGGAGGAGTATTTCATTCCAAAACCGAATCACCGTCTCTCTGTCTTCTCACTATACGTGGATTCACTTAGGATTGTCTTAATAAAATATCGAAAAAAAGGGAATAAGAATTATAGATATTCTATTTTTATTCACCACCACTAGTGTAAGGTTGTTGGTTGTGGTTGAGGGGTATGAATCTTTATTACAGTGTTTGTTTGGTGCCAAACAGACACTATAATCTTTATTATAGATATTCTCTTTATTATATGGATTCTATTAGGTTAACTCATTGATTTCTTTTTTAACTTACGAACACTATGTTAGTATTTTATTGAATCACTTAATTGCACCGGAGGCTGAATGATAGCCAATAATGTTATGTTAGATAGTCATCTCTTGTCCCAATCATATGGTCCAACATTAAATGTGTGTGTGTGTGTGTGTGAGAGAGAAAGAGAGAGAGAGAGAGAGAGAGATGTACTCTTATTCACATGGGTATAATTCAGCTAAAAGGAGTTTCATCTAGTGTTGGACATTCCATGTGATACATACCATCATGTTTTAATAGCGGACAGTTCAAGTCTGTAATAAACCATGTTAATCACGTACTAAAGAGATATTATATCAAATGATGATGAAGGAGCAGTTTCTATATACAAGGGATTTGAATTTTGATCAGATATAAAATTTAATTTTAAATTAATTATTCAAAATTAATTCATGTATCACATAATCTATCTATTTCATAAGTGATAAGAATCCTTCAAATTCAAATTCAAAATTCATTATAGGAAGCATCCTCTGGTCTGTCCCTTTAATGCATCATAAATATTAAATAGGGCTTATTGGATGCAATAACACACACACACACACATATATATTGAATGGTTTTTATTATGTATATAAATCTTGTAGCTCATAAATTTACTAGGTAACACTATAAATTTAGCTGGTCACATGAATAAATCTCCATAATCTTAAATTTCTTTCAAACACTTCAATGTGGCTTAAAATAAAATCTACGTTGTACAAATATATATACACACACAGGCAAGGGCGAAGACCCCTAAAAAAAAAAAATTATTATACTACTTTCAGTCCAGCCCAAAAAAAAAAAAAAAAAAATTTAGCCCACTCAAAATTAGCCCAATCCTAAATTAGCCCACCTCAATCAGCAATCCTGGATCTGCCCTTGCACACAGGCTTAAAAAAGACTATCAAAATCAGGATAAATATATTGGAAGCAGCATTATTGGTTGTTAAAATGTCCTTTTAACAAATTTAAAAGCAATACACAATGAATACTTAAAATCTACATAACCTTTAAACTTGTTTCAAACACTTCAATATGGCTTAAATATATATATATATATATATACACACACATATATACACACACATATATATATATGTGTGTGTGTATATACACATATACACATACGATTAAAACCTGATAAGATTGAGTTTCAAAATCAAGATAAAAATGGATTTGGCATCATTATTGGTTGTTACGATGTCCCTTTTACAATTTGAAAAGCAATTGGAGCATTACAATTGAATGCAACAATATCTATTCAACATTGATTCCTTATCTATCAAAATATATAATTTGAAATTAAAGAAAGGACATTTGTGTTGTATCCAAACATGCATTGTACTACATTTAACCATACACATGGATTGCTTCTGCTGCATATTTAATGCATCACAACTGCTCTGTACGTGTCTCTGTGTATTTTCTATGCACACTGGGAAGTCAATAATATACATATTATTATTGATGTAAAGTATTGTGCTTCTTAGGTAACGTGATTCCATATTTTATTTAATTTACTCAAATAATAAGGAGAACTAAGGAGAAGCTCAGCAGTCTTCACATAGAAGAGGAACTGAGACTTCAATTAAGTAAATTGTTACTTAATACTAGTTCTTCTGAACCAGAATCATCAAGATAGATACGTGTGCACTTGGTCCAAGTTGGGACACTTCAATAAATTTACGATGTACAAAGGTTAGTAGTGTCTTTTCAGTGGTAAAAGATGAAGGTTGGCACTTGGCAATTAAAGTCTTGATTTGCACTTTCAATAATATAATAGGACACCTTAATTTGAATTCTGTCATATTACATTAATACTTCACCATTTAGCAAATCCGAATGAGTAGGACAAAATCACACATCAATTATTGAATTTTACAACCTAAACAAGTCAGTTAGGTATCAATTATGTAATTCATTCAACTTTCATTTCACACACACATTATATTATATGATTGCAGCTTGTATGGATTGGACCTGCGAGATATATATATATATATATATATATATATATATATATATATATATATATTAGATATATGACATTTAGTATATGTATCCTATAGGAAAACACATTAAAAGCAGATAAACTCGATACAGGATCGTCGTTGTACAGTCTAAAAAAATTTGATGTAAATACATAATTTTACTTTTACATATCGATAATTTCTTACCATAACCACTATTTTAATCGCACGTTGTGTCAATAACATATGGCACTTATGTACTTATTACTTTTTTTTTTTTTTTGAAAAATTAAGCGAATTGAATAGATAGAGAAAAAGATACAAGAAAGGCCTTTGGCCCAAACAGCCCACTAGAGGCAAATTATAAGCCCGAA